AAAAAAAAAAAAAAAATAAAACGAATACCAACGACTACTTATTTTAAAAATTAAAGATATAATTAAAGGGTAAAAAAATAAAGTTCCCTTTTCAAAGCTGCTGGTATATAGGACAAGTGCAGTAGAGTTCACTTGTTTCTGTAGCTTCAATTTATGAAGAGCTAGTGTGGTCAGCACTATTTACTTTCCCTAACGTAAGGCAAGACAACAAAAGTACTCAGGGGCGATTTACTGTCTTGAGTCCGGATTCGAACTCGTAACTTACAGATTAACAGTAAAGCAAATACATTCGACTATTAATTTAAAAAGATAAATAAGATTTAATTAAAAGGGTATAAGCGTAGCTTCATTAGTAATCTAGGGGTGGGGGAGGTGTACATTACAAATTAAAGCTAGTACATTTAACTCCAAGAAAATAAATAAGATTTAATTAAAGGGTATAAACCTATCTTCATTAGTAATATAATGGCTGGGTTGGGTGTATATTACAAATTAAAGCGAATACATTGGACTACAAGAAAGTAAATAAGATTTAATTAAAGGGAATAAACGTATCTTCATTAGTAATATAATGGTTGGGTTGGGTGTATATTACAAATTAAAGCGAATACATTGGACTACAAGAAAGTAAATAAATAAAAAATTTTATTAAAGGGAATAAACGTATCTTCATTAGTAATATAATGGCTGGGTTGGGTGTATATTACAAATTAAAGCGAATGCATTTGACTACAAGAAAATAAATAAATAAAATTTTATTAAAGGGAATAAACGTATCTTTATATTCGCTGAGTTAACTCCCTTAAAAGAATATATATACATATATATATAATAAAAAATAAAAATATTAACCTTACCTTAGTGCTGGATGATGTGAATGTCTAAGATGAAGTGAACTCGGAATGCCAAAGTATGCGGTCCGTAGCAGTATAGTTAGTTCAGTGGACGCGGTATCACAAGGTATGTAGTCCGTAGCAGGATGGTTGGTTGGCTGGACGTGAAGATGAGTTGAAGTCTTGAGAAGTAGTGTTTGAAGTAAAATTTCGTCTGAATTTATACTTTATGAACGCGTGGGTCAATTATGCAGGCGTGGGTAACGCAGATGTGGAGGTCGTTGAACTCTACTGCAATCCTTGGTTTAAAAAAACAAAAACATAAAGCCTCACTATGAACGCGTGGTCTAATTATGCAGGCGTGTGTCACGCAGATGTGGAGGTCATTGAACTCTCCCTCCGATCCTTGGTTTAAAAACAAAACATACCTCATCACCTGCTTGATACATAAAATCAAAAAATCTAATTTCTTTATATCGCCTGTTTCACGCTTGCGCAGTGAAACGAGTCGTCCCTTTGGACCAAGACGCGGTCGGGTTTTCAAAGCCTATTATCCGCCCCTCAGCTACCCATACAATGGGTATTGTCCTCACAGAATACAATGGGCGGTCGACGCGTGCCGTGTTTCGGTTGTGCGTGGAATTTGTAAACATTACTACATGCTAAATTTATTCAAAATTCTATACGCAGACACCGCGGGTGTAAACAAGGGGAAGGGTGGAGCGGGCCATTGTGTACTGCATACCAGGATTGACGGGCGCGTGTTTTAACACTTACGATTGGTCCCGAGTTTAGTGCCGTAATTTTTATCGACTATTCTATAAGCAGACAACGCGGATGTTTATACAAAGGTTATTGACCTCACAGAATACAAAAGAAGGTGGGCGCGTGCTGCATCACCCGCGATTTCAGGAGGTCGTTGAACTACACTACCATCCGTTCGCGGTTTATTTTGTTTTGGTGGAGCTAGCCTAAAACTTATTCTCCACCCTTTTTCACCGTCACCGGCTCGACAATATATTAACGATCGACTTATATCACGTTTAACACTTGCACTTATTGGGCCTAATTATAAACGTTTATTTCCGCGCTTTCAAGATGTCTCGTGAAGATTGGATACTTGTGGCCAGAAGTAGTAATAAAGTGACGGAAATACGAACGACGAATGACAGTGGTTATAAAGTAGCTATCGTTAGTCAATTCATGAACAAAAACACTTTAAATCTTAGAGATCTTGTGGATGGTACAGATCTTAAATTTCCTAATAATTCTGGAATAAATCTCTCTCGTATATCCTTTGAACGTTTACTCGCCCTGAGATATGATATTTTAAAAGCGTTTGATGACTTGGAGAAAGTTGAAATAAATTCATAAAATATAAGAAGTCTTTTGTTGTGATATAAGTTGTGTGTAAGTTGTGTGTGTGTGTGTAAATAAACGCCAGCCATAAACACAACAACCAAGTAGAAACCAGGAAGGGGGCAATAACCGCCCGGCTGTTGGTACGTGATGTATCTCTTTATATTAAGACGAGTAGAATTCGACATCCACCAGTCCTATTCAACAAAGATTTTATACGGTCAACATGTTTAAACATGACTTTTAAAAAAAAAAAATCGATAGTAAAGGCGCGTGAGTTGGATTAGACAATGGGGTAGGGCACCTGCCTTTGAGTATGACGCGAGTAGCGGCACACAAAAGGACATGGTCACACAGACGTCAGACAAAGGGAGAATGAGATTGCAACACACAAAGGGACGGGGTACCACCTGCTACCACCTCCCCCACCCGACCCCGGGTTTCACCCGCGTCACCCCCACCCACACCCTCACTGGAGGGTGGTGAAATACTATTTTACGATATACTGTTAAAGCCGGACTGTCGTCCAGGTCAATAAAAACAACCAACAAATGGGCAACTGGTCAACAACCGATAAACTGATCATCTGGTCAACTACTGGTCAGTTGGTCCACTGGTCAACAAAATGTATAACATTATTATTTAACCATTAATAAAACAATAGCTCAAGTGGTCAGTTGGTCAACTGGTCAATATATCGATCAATTGATCAAAACAATAACCTCCTCCTCCTCTATGATAATCGTTTTGGTCAACAAGTGGTCAAGTGGTCAACATACCGATCAAAACAATAACCTACTAGTCAAAATAATCAACAGTTGTTTAATGAACAATCAACAACGGGCTAAAAATCAATAAATGGTCAAAAAACAGGGACATAAATCAACAGGTGGTCGAGAATCAATCAATAACGGGTTAAATAATCAACAGGTGGTCAAAAAATCCATCAATAACGGTCAAAATATGCAACAGGTGGGCAAAAAATCAATCAATAACGGTCAAAATAATCAAACAAGTGTCCCTCCTCCGCCTCCCCCTCCTCCTCCTCAATAATACCCAAAGGGGACCTACTATACTACTGACATGCTGTAATTAGCATCAAAAGTATTTCCAAATTTCAAAACAACTATATACTTTAAATTCAGTGTCAGTATGATGAGAGAAAATCGGCACAAATATTTTTTTACACGGTTGGAACATAATTCAGGCATTAAGTGGTTAAATAACTAAAAATACATGCTTTGTCACTTATCATCTAGTAAATGTATTCAAAACTCCTTTCTATTGGTTATTTAAATAGTTGTTTATTATTATATTGATTTAAAGAAAATCTATAACAGCTTGTTATTAAAATGTTTTTATGCAATGTTTATACAAATTGAATTCTCTTTTTAATTGCTTGAAAAAAGGTTCGAGTTTTTAAAACAAGTATCTTTGTTTCCTAATAATGATAGCTGTTGGAAAATGAGATTTCATTTATGTTGTTTTTAACAAGAAGAATTAATGATTTTGATTTTTATACAATTATTTATCACATTAATAATCTTCACATTTTTCAATAAGAAACGTCTTCAAGATAAACATAAATAAGAGAGTGTAACAGAAAGCTGTGGTTGAATAATCAATTAAATGGTGTAAACTTTATTGAACGGTAAATTAAAGGTTAAAAAACAAAGTATAACTGATTGATATTTTCAAAATAAAATTATTTTCACAGAGGCGACAAAATGTCGAGTATAACCCGATGTAATAACTGAGGTTGTCACCTTACCCCCTTTAACAATTCTATATGTACCATTCTTTATCAAAGCTTTGCAATTTCCTCAACCCTACATCGCAAAGATGTCATCCGGTGCTGACCTCAACTCCCGACCCGCCTACTGATCTTACTCTATGCATTCTCATAATAAAACTAATTAATCCACATACAATATTTAATTATTCAACAATTGCATCACCAGTACTGCAATTAGTTTAAACACATACACACAATTAAACAACTAAAAATATAAAATTTGCAAACAAGCAAAACACGAAACACATAAAAACACTAAAAAAAACAACCTACTAAAATAGACATTTTAAAAAAGTATAAAACAAACCTAAACATACGCAGATTCGTTAGTGTTTGAATTTAGAACTTAATAAGTATTTTTACATCAGTCTTCAATCCCACACTGGACAGACGGCACCTCCAAGCAATGTTACATAATCACCTGAAACTACTTCAACTTTTTTTGTGACCACCTCTTCCTATTGTGAAAATATCGTTTCAGTAGCTGTACGATAACCAACTAATATTACCAACAAATTTCGGTTTTACTGGAACATACAATTCTGAGCATCCGACCTGTACGCTTTTTGAGTTGCATAAATAATCGAGCGTTTTATTTCCTTTACATGATTCTAGTTTGGAACCTGGAATATCTTGTTGATTATTTTTTCAAATTATACTTTTGTTGGAAGTACTAACAAATATACACAGTCATGTGACCCTAAAAAACGTTCCATTATATATATATATATATATATATATATATATATATATATATATATATATATATATATATATATATAAAGTAAGGTTAAAGTCACCTGCACCTTAAAAGCTATATAGTGTGCAATAAGTTTAGTCGATATGTATTCAGTACAAATAAAATAAAACTGAAAAGGTAAATCTAGGGAAACAAATAGAACAAAAAAAGCTGCATAACGTTACCCACCGCCACAAAATACAGCCCTTAATACAATTCCCAACGCTTTTACAAAACGAAATAACCATTCAATAACATTACTTTGTACTTATTTTTAGTCAGGCACCAATTCATCTTTCTGTAGTGTAATTGGTATAAAATTTGAACATGTTTCATCAGTCCCCCAGTATTCTATACAGTTAAAGTACTCTTTAAACGAACTCAACCGTTTTTGTTCAGCCGGCTCGTGGGTGGGGTTACAACCAAATGTGGTCAACTTTTTCTTGTATGTCAATGCACCGTACAACTTTCTCTTAATTGTCCATAACCTTCCCAACAATTTGAATGTGACTTTTTCAACTAAACAGTTTATAATCCACAAATCTCCAACAGTTTGTAATACGTAAGTATTGTTGTCATCACTGAAACTTATTATCTGTTCAGCCGGTCCATTCAACTGTTCTAATTCTGTTAATTTCTTTGTTAAAATGTCCAGCTGATGAACTGCAGTTTTATCTTCGCCATTGACGGTAACAGAACTGAAAATCAGAATCGTTCTATGAAAATGTATAGCCTGTTGTACTTTTATTGTAACTGGTAGCTTTGTTAATTCTTCAACTTTTGGTTTCCGAGATTTAGGGAATATTTTATATATTTCAGTAGAACATTTACTAAGAATAAAGATACACTGTTCACATGGCACTAAAATTAACTGCCGTCCTGGTATCTCAGTAATTTTGTTCCAAGCATTTACACAAAAAACATACAGACAGCTGTTTGTTTGAGATTCGTCTTTAACACCACTGGCGTACAGATAAGAGTCAAAAACAACTAAATTGACGTCTAGTGATATATCGGTACAGCCTATACTTTTGTAAAGCTTATCATCAAAAACATGTATGTAATAAAATTCTCCTCTTTCTATATGATACTCAACACCGTAATGCTCCCACTCACTAGAGCCTCGATGTATGGCACTTGTTCGCCATTGTCCGTGGTTATAATGTGTTGTCTTATACAATACAGCATCAATCAAAATATCTCTAGCTTCAGTGTTGTTGATTATCAATCGATGTTTTAGCAGATCTTTTAGAAGTTGTGTACTCACAAGACACGTCCTCACAGACTTCAATAATGTTGTCAAGGCTTGAGTTCTGTGACTTATTTTATTCAACATTTGTTTATTGGCTGCATGAAGACTTTTACCAGATTCATCATTTGAACTATTTGTAGTGTTATCTTTATTGTCAGTGAAAACTTCTTCATATTCAACACTGCATTTCTCTTCAGACCTGTACTCAACCCACTTTAACACTGTTTGTATGACCCAGTCTTCGTTTTCTACTTTTAGGTCCCGAGAATCAATCAATTCATTGAAATCTTTAACTTCGAGCTCCATTATAGGCTTGTCGTTCATAAGTATGCCGAAGTTATTTAACATAAAAGATTTTGAAGCATTCAACACTTTTTCGGATTTAAAAGCTTTAGCTGTACTCACAACGTTTTCAATGTTTTCAACAGAAATGGCCTTTGTAGCGAAATCCTCACAGTGTGTAACAATAAAGTCTATCTGTAGTTGATCCGCTGCATACCAGATATCTATAAAATTATCTTTCGTGAGAGGAACTTTTCCAGTATACATTGACTTCAAAATGTGTTGAAATGTTTTAAGAGAAATCCCATTGATTGTTACACAACCCTCTTTAGCCTCCTTCATGTCACTCATTAAAAGTGCTCTGAAGAAATGTGACGACGCTGCCAGAAAAATACGGTGACATTGCAGAGAAACGTCATCAACCTTGACAGTAAAATCCAAAAAAATATTATCCAACAGAAGTTTTTCTGTGTTTTTCAGAACAGTTTGCGAACTGTCATATTCAAAATCCATCATTGAATATAAACTTAGAAACTGCAAATCATCTGAAATTATAGATTTACAATTTTCAAATGTATTACGTGTAAGTACTAAAGTAAATACATTTTGGTTCTTTTTAAATAATACGGGTAAACATAAATGTACTTTCCTTATCTAGGCGCAAATATATATATTACTTTTTCATTAGTATTGGAAAAGAGTTTATAAAGTGCAGGCCCAATGGCTATTTTAAAGTTAAAATTCTTTTGTTTTAAATGAACGTCTGGAATATGTAAATAGGTCAAATTGTTATAAGGCTTCATTGTTTATGTGTGTGTTTATTTTTATTTTTTATGGGTTTTTTTGCAGTCCGTGAATCTCGATTATAACCATTTTCTAAAGCAACGATGTCAATTAAAATTTTCAGATACCATACTGTTAAATGACAAAGTAAGAATGTATCATTTTTAATCTAATTAGACAATACTAAATTCAAACAATAAAAGGGAAGACATCAGAATAAATTACAAGAGCTAATCGCTCACTTAGCTAGAGGAACAAGGAGAAAAAAGTATCACTGCTAATTGGATTTTTGACTGCGAGTCGACTACAGACTATGAAGGGTCAGAAAATTGTTAGAGATCGCTATCTAACTATAGGTTTATATCATATTTTAAGACGTATGTGGTGTCGACTCTATTATTAACGAATTATTTAAAAAAATTATAAGAACTTACAATTTCAGAAAAAATTAGGAAACTTTAGTTTTTTATATTAAATATTATTTCTTGCTTATTAAATATGTAACATATTTTATAAAGAAAAGCTTTTATTGATGACAGCATATTCATTTTATTGTTATTTTTTTAAACTTTAGTACCAATTAAAGCTTATACAGTTTTATTTATATTGTTTATTTTTTCACTTTCCTTTTATTTTTGATTGCCTTTTTAAAACAGAATCATATATACACTTGGTTTTTGTAACAATAGTTATGTATTTTTTAAATTTTATTTATAAGAGCCGTGTCTTATAACGCATCTCCACATGTGGTTTTTAAACCTACTTAAGATTTTTTTAATTAGGCCTACAGGGAAATAGATGGCGAGGAAGTGATCAACGACTGAAGTAGAAATTACTTATTTAAAACAGTCTACGTGTAGAAATTAAAATGGGAATCTCGATAGCTTTTTTTTTTGTTAACTTCAAAAAAGGAAAAGTTTTAGAATTCAGGGAGAGGCTATAAACGAGAGGGGATGTATTTAATCTTCATTTAAGTGAAACATTTGATATAACTATACAAGTAAAATAATTATTAGTTTATATTTTAGCTGCTTCCATAAAAGTAGACTAAATAATTTTAAATATTTTACTTTTAATGTGTTTTTCGTAAACTACTGTATTTAATAGTTATCATTTTTAAACTTATTTTCTTTCTTTAAAAATGAAAAAAAAAAACATAACGTTTTAACTGTAACTTACCATTCACTGATAAATATTAAAGATAATAATTAAACTTTTATTGTTAACTAAGCAAAAGAGATATAAGATCTGAACTATAAATATATAGAAAACAGTAAGCTATAGGCCCTGTATATTGCTTGTATAAGAATATTTGTATAAAAAGATATTCAATTAGGCGTACAGCGTTTTAAAATTGTAAGAAATAAAAACATGAAATCGAATTTCCTCTTTCAACACAGGTGCTGTCAAACGGAAGCGAAACACTTTTTTTTCTAAAGTTTTAGCTTAGGTGTGCAAAACTCGATTTTTTTAAACATGCGACTGAATATAAATTTAAGACAATAGTTATAATTATTGTTACCATTGCTACTCTTTTTTTTAAATAAAATATTATTTATTGATAAATTAATAATCTTTGTCAACATTAATTATTATAGGTGACATTATTATTATCATACAAAGACGGATAAAACCCGTCCCCCTTCCTTCACCCTCTCATTTAACGCCAAGAATAACTTTTCAAGACTAACATGCACTCTAAAAAAATTTCAAGTGGTGAATCTTAATTAATAGAAAATGTTTTAGCATAGATGAAACTGTTTTATTTAAAGCATAACAACCCGAGTGTTTTTTTTTAAATTGCCATACTTTTTAGCGCAATTTCCATTCTGGAGAATTGCGTTTATTAACTCGTCTTTTCTGGGAATGGATGGATGAATGTATGGATGTGTGTCCGGGCTTTAAGTCGTATCTCCTCCTCAACGAAGCAATATCGATGACTAGTTACAAAAGCAATTATGTTAAGCAAGTTACGAGGATGAGCATAGGCCATAAAAATTCCGGGTTTCTTTCATGTATTTCTCGGAAAAGCCAAAAAAAACTCGAAAAAATGCAGTTTTTGGCCCATATCTCGGCAACCAGACCACTTAGCGACTTGAAACATGTACCAATCGATTCCTGCCATAATTAAGAACAATATTGCCGAAGAAAGTTTTCAAAAATATCCTCTCGTTCGGGCACAAATTTTAAAATTACATAAACACCTACAAACCGATCGTTCTTCTAGCTTGAACGCAACCCAGCATTATACGTCAGAGCTATTTTTAGATAACATAAGGAAATTGCGCATGAATGTCACTAGACTTTTTTAATTAACTTGTTTGATCACTTGCATTTTAAATAGAATGCGTAACAAATTCAAATTTTACTTGATGCATCCACATTTAATTTTTTAAACATATTTTGCTGAATTTATTTTAAAAAATGGGACTTTACTTAAAATTTGTATACGTCTGTTTTCCATTAGTTATAAGAAACCGCGTTAATAATGCAATACCAGTTAATGAAACTTAATCTTTATTCTAGTTATGGGATTTTTTAAAATGGAACAAATTTGATATAAAACGTATTTTTGAAATTTCGTCACCTGAAAAAATCACCTGAAACGGTTCTCATGTTACACACAAAAGACATGAACAAATTTGCAAAATCTAGTTCGTCCCAGAAGGAGGTAAGACGTAAACATTTGTTAAAATCTCTCTTTTGTTTCTTTGCTCGATTTCAATGCATCCTTTTACTTTCCAAAACGATACAGTAAAAGGTGTAAAACGGCGAAAACTGTCAAAAAAAGTGTTTATTTATCAAGCACGATTACAATATTTCCTCTTTACTCTGCTTACGAGAAAGTCTAAATGTAGGTTTATATGAGTGACTTATTTTAAAGTCGCTTGTTTTTAGCGCAATTTCCATTCTGGAGAATTGCGTTTATTAACCCGTCATTTCTGGATGTATGAATGTATGAATGAATGTGTGTCCGCAGCTTTAAGTCGTATCTCCTCCTCAACGAAGCAATATCGAGGACTGGTTCCAAAGCAATTATGTTAAGCAAGTTTCGAGGATGAACATAGGCCAAAAAATTCCGAGTTTCTTTCATGGATTTCCCTGAAAAGCCAAAAAAAACTCGAAAAAATGCAGTTTTTGGCCCATAACTTGGCAACCAGACAACTTAGCGACTTGAAAAAGGTACCAATCGATTCCTGCCATAATTTAGAACAATATTGTCGAAGAAAGTTTTCAAAAATATCCTTTCGTTCGGTCACAATTTTTTTTTTTAATTAATTAAAATTTGGACCGAATTAGTAGGCATTTTTATCCAACCACACCACACGCGTAATCACGTTCAATAGCTGCGCCATCACGTTCAATGGCTGCGCCATCACGTTCGGTAGCTAGGCGCGCAATGGTTTTTAGCCATGTAACTCTATTGTAAATAAAACATGTAATATACTGAAAAAAACAATTTAATAAAAAACGTTTTAATAACTAACCAATGGTTTTACTAACCCTGCTCTTGATTTACGCTACGACAGAGCTATTTTTAGATAATATAAGGAAATTGCGCTTAAATGTCACTAGACTTTTTAATTAACTTGTTTCTTTCTTTTTAACATAAAATAAAAGATTTTATGTTAAGTATTACTGTTCGCATTAAATCTTATTATGTGTCGGTATTACAATTATTGACTACCATACAGTTATTATCATTGTAAAGTTGATTTCACTATTACCGTTGAGAATGAACAATATGTATAACCATACTATTAATTATATTAATTGTATTAATTAATATTAATATTAATTGTATTAATATATATGTATGTATATATATATATATATATATATATATATATACATACATATATATATATATATATATATACATACATATATATATATATATATATATATATATATATATATATATATATATATATATATATATATATATATATACATATCAGTTTATTTGATTCGATATCTCTTCTTTTTCTTTGTTCTTTATTATAATGTGCCATAGAGCCCCTTGGCTCAAGCTTTTCTTGACGAGTTACAGTCACCATCTTGGGGCTTCTGGTGTAATCAATCAAACGCTTTCCTGCTGGATCACGTCGTTCTTGTTATAATTTGATATATCTATATATATAATTATTTTCGTTGACAAGACGCTGCAAGCTGACTATCTAACCATCCTCCCGCCCCATCCCTTGCACTCCAGGCATGCGAAACAGACCATTTCGCTATCACCCAAAACCCCACCTGTCTGGTGAGCTGTGGTTCACCCAGTATGTTTACAATCGTAGAACCGGGTAGAATTAGTGACGGCAAATAGAGCCAGATCATTCAGATCTTTAACGATTTGAAACTAAGGGAGGTAAGAAGTTCTGTTTGATCTTTTCATCGTCGTGTGTAAACTGTTGTCACGTACGGCTAGTGTTGGTAGAGGGTAGTGTTGAATTAACAAATTAGTAATTTTTTTAACAATGCCAACCATATTTTCAGTAATTGTTTTTCTTGCAGAAATAAAACTTTTGTCACGAGGTAATTGTGATGGCTTTTATTGGAAAAAAGTTTATGGTAAATAATATGCAAATGTTGAAACTTTTGACTACTAAAAAGGAAGCTATTTTTCAGACCGCGTAAAGTTCTTTCAAAAACTTGTCGTGACAAAAGTTTTAATGTATACTGAAATATAAGCCGTTAAAGTTTGATTTCTGTAAATGCATAAATAATAAACGAATATTCTTATATAAACCAAAAGGGGATGGCAACTCGGGATATAGACATGATTTTAATCCATTTTAGTATCTATTGGATACCTTTACTAATGTTTAGGAAGAGACCCACGCTTTTCTTTATAGTAATTTAAATAGTAGTCTTTTGTCTACTTTTTAGTGCATTAGTACATAAAAGCTTGTTATTAAAACGTTTTTTATGATAAAATGTGTTAGCACTCCACATGTTTTTATTTAGTTTCATCACTAAAAACCATTGGGCGCCTATTGAACGTGATTACGCGCTATTGAACGTGATGATGCGTGTGGTGTGGTTGGTAGAAATGCCTACTAATTTGGTCAAAATTTTAATTCATAAAAAAATTAATTAGGCATCTAATTAAGTCAAATTTAATTTCAGATTGCATTGTCTTCATGTCTTGTCCCACGTGCCAATTGTGAACCGAATCTGTCAGTTAGAAGTGTCCGAATTTTCGCTCCAGCGTTTCGATCTAAACAGACTGATGACTAACGACTGACGACAGACAGAGAGGGTGAGTTAAATAAAAGCTGGTAAACATTTTTCATAAAAAAATGTTTTAGTAACAAGCTTTTATGTACTAATGCACTAAAAAGTAGAAAATAAATTATTTAAATAACTATAACTATAATAACAATCACAATCGAGTTACATGACTAAAAACCATTTCGCATCTATTGAACGCGATAACGCGATTTTGCCGTGATAACGCGTGTGGATAGAACTGCCTACTAATTCGGTCAAAATTTTAATTAATTTATAAAAAAATTAATTAGGCATCCAATAAAGTCAAATTGAATGTTAGGATGCATATTCTTCATGTCTTAACCCATGTACCTACTACGAACCGTACCTGTCAATCGCTCCGGCGTTTTGATCTAGACTGACGACAGATTGTCGACAGACTATCGACAGAGGAAGTGAGTTAAATAAAAGTTTGTAAAAAAAGAATAGAATCTCGTAGAAAAAAGAATTGAACACCAAGTAAACTCAAAACAAAATGTGAACAATAGATGCAAATAGTATTTGTACTTTTATAAATTTATATGCGTCTTTTGAGAAATCAGAAATTGCAAAAGTTTTTACTTTTGGTAAAGGGAAATTACTCAAAATTTGACAGGAGGCAGAGAATTAGATCTTTAACTTACATGTGGAATTGTATGTATCTATCTGAAATAGTACTAAAGTTATGGGCTTTTGAAAAACATCAAAGCAGAAAAAGTTCCAAGATAACTTGAGTATCGTTAAAGCTATGTTGATGAAATTTCATACATAAGTATTATATCAAATTTGTAGATGCATATTAACTTTTGTGTAATTTCCGATAAACGGAAGTGGAACTGTTTCAACTTTCAGTCCGTTCAAAACAGATTGCCTGTTGTACTTTTATTGTATTTGGTAGCTTTGTATATTTTTTCAACTTTAAAGCTTCGCTATTTGAGGAATATTTGATATATTTCTATGCTATTTATGGTCAGAATAAAGATGCAATGATCATATGGCACTAAAATCAACTGGCGCCATGGTAATTTAACTATTGTGTTTCACAATTTACTGCTCAAACATATACAATGCTGGTTGCTTCGGGAGCCGGACGTTTTCCCAAAAGACACATACCCGAATGCCGATTGCCCGAAGGCCGATTTCCCGAATGGACACTTGCCCGGTTGAGACAAATGCCCGAATGGACACTTGCCCGAATGGACACTTGCCCGAATGCGAAAAAGGCCGGAATGGACACTTGCCCGAATGGACACTTGCCCGAATACGTCAAATGCCCGAAGGCCGAATGCAACTTGCCCGAAGGCCGTTTGCCCGAAAAATGTTAATATTATATATTACCAAATAATCATTCGCAATCAATTTAAAATTTTGCACAATATAAACTATGTCCATTCGTGCATTTGTCGCATTCGGACAAGTGTCCATTCGGGAAATCGGCATTCGGAAAACGGCATTCGGGCAAAGGGTCTTTTGGGAATCTGTCGTAGACCCGGTTGCTTCATATTGAACTTTCACACGAATGAGAATTAACAACAACCAAAGTATTGTTTCTGGGATATTTATTGTCTTTCATACACGTGTAAAGTTTTCCATCAAATGTGGCTAATTTGAAAAAATGTATAACCATTATACAAAAGCGCCACAGTGTTCAAATTCACTACAGGCATGATGTATGGCAGATGTTCGCAACTGCCTTTGTTTATAGTGTGTTGTCTCATACAATATAGCATCCATTATAAGTATTCGAACAAATTTAATAATAATTACCAATTGATGATTTCGGAAATTTTCCAAAAGTGAAGTACTCACTAATGACGTTCTAACAGACTCTAACCTATTTGTTAGCTGAATGATTCTTTTGTTTGATCAGACGTATTAGATAGTTCTTTCAATGCTTCAATTGCGGAATTTTAGGATTCCTTTAATTTCTGCTTGAAGTGTGTTATTCTCGCCTGTATTATCACATGTCGCTACGTTAATACAGTCTGCGTTGTCATCAATTAAGTCCATATTAGAAGTGTTACTTGTATCACTATCATAACTTTCTGAATTATCTCAATAAGAATCTTTACAAATTAAACACATTCTTTTCATAATTTCCTATTTCGTTAGCTTGTCCACATACTTCCATATTGTAATCAAGTTATCCTCTGACAATACTTTTAATACTTTTAATACAAAGTGTTCACAATCTTGTACCATACATTATATCCGTAGTTGATCCGCCGCCTTCCCTATGTCCATAAAAATCTCTAACGTTAAAATAACTTTTCCAGTATACATTTTCTATTGTTCTTATTACACTTTGAGACCAATTGTATTCTCCCATTATCAGAGTGTGTTTTTTTAGATTAAAAAAAAAGATACAAAATAATAAATCGCATTCGTGAATTGCTAATACTGTATCTGATTTTTAACACTTTGTTGTATACGCATCGATAAACGTAAAACATAAAAGAAAATATCTTTTTCAATATGCATTAAATTAAGGGAACAAGATACCCATGTTTTCGATAAAATTTTAATTTTGCTCCCCAAAATTTTTATTTCTTAATTCGATACTAATACCTTTTATCTCTCTAACCCGAAGATTTCGGACTTTTACATCTTACGGTTATCCGTTTATTGCGATGTGAAACATGGTACCCCCCGACAAGTTTTCACACTACTACGCGGACAGCGGCTATCTTCGAGCGGGTATTACATGTATTTATGGCCCGCGAGGCACCATAAACTTTACAGCAATCTAAGGGCCAAGCACTCGTGTACCCGCTGGTGTAGTGACCTTTTCTTTTGTTCTAAAAATAAGTGGGATAGAAGTTGTTTTCTACAAAGTAAAATTCTACATCAAACTCCATATAAGGGCATGCGCGTAAAAATTATGAAGGGAAAGAGATTCATTTATACGCTTGACAAATCATATTATAGTACAGTAAATCAAAATAATTCACGATAGGCTGCAACTAACCACGTGTGCTAGGCAGCCATCTTGTTTCTAGATAAACAAAACAATCGCCTGTCTCGTTTGTTTACCTCATTTGCGTATACGCTTCTATTTGTTGTTTTAAAGTTATACAACAACATTGATTTAGTAATTGAAACGTGGCCTAGAAATGCACTGTTGATTATCACTGGAACAATATTAAACACTGTTTCGTACGCTTTATATAAGCTGAAACAAAGCGTCATGGACATGACTATCAGTTTGAAGAATGTACTGTCCATCCCCTTTACCCCCTTCATTCCCTTCTCGCCATTCAACCAACGGCCGGTTTATAATCTAGTTACGGCATGCTGTGATAGGCTTGAACGCGTTCATCAGGCTTTACACAGGACTGTATACGACACATGTGTTAATGTGTATGCCCATCTCTCCGTATAGGGTGTGGTAGCAACGAATGTAAGTACTAGTGTAGATTGTAGTAGATAGGATAGCTGAGAAGCATTCACTTAGATTGTAGTAGATAGGATAGCTGAGAAGCATTCACTTAGGCCCTGTACTTGACCCTATCTACACAGATGTGTTATTCGCGGTTGAATGAACATTGGGAATCTATGGCTCATCGGTTCTTCACGCACTATCCAGCGGTGGGGTGGGGTGGAGGGGGCGTGTCTAGCCTCAAGCGTTGTACCCAGTGTTGTGTTGTAGGCTATTATCATAAGGCAATAAACTTGTGTAAGCTACAATTTGAGTAGAGAAAGACATTGTTTTGAAGTGAGAGGACCGGCTAACAAACAAAACTTGGTCTGGTTTGAAGATAGCTGTTCTGAGAATACCGCTCGATTGATAGGATGTGTAATACTTAATAGTCATACATTCATTACCTGTTGTATACATATTTTCTGCTTACATAGAAAACATCTGTCTAAAACCTACAGCATAAATCAAAGCGTATTTTATTAGACAAATGGTTCTTCCACATATAACAAGACGTTTTTTTCTGTTTTCTATAAGAGAAAACGCACCGTGCCTTTTCCCGCTCTTCTTTTCACGTTTTCTCAACTTTGCATTTTTACTCAAAATTCAACATTCAAATCGCTAAGGCTTTGGAACCCTTTGTCATACAAGAATAAAACATTCCACGTCGTGCATTCAGCATGATACCATCTACAAAACTACGTTTGTATATTACGTTTACTACAATACTTTAGGAAATATTGATATTTATGTAACACCACCCCCTAATTTTTGCACATAAATTTACGTAAAAATTTGTATTAAAAATTGAGTACAAGCTATCGCAATGAGTAAACGTAGAAATGTATAGTTTGGTTTGAGAAATCTAAATCTTTCATCAGCTTTTTAAAATCTCTTATGGGAACAAAGCCTTAGCGATTTGAAAAGGTGTTAGTTTTCACACCTTTTCGCGGTTTCCATGGCAACCAGTACTGCTATTGACGGCTATATATTATTTTTGTCTTTAGTTTAACAACTATAATTATATAAACTTATTAAACAACCAGAAATGTGTTAAATAAAAAAAAATTTTTATCCGTGGTGCCTATCTAATATATGTAATTTATAAGGAAGATTGGTGGAAAATTTTGTGGAATTAGCTTATCGATTTTAGGTCTGTGTTGTGTTTATACATTCTATTTAAAACGAATGTTTTACATTACAAAAATTTATAGAAAAGCAACACATTACCTATTATTTCTTTTCAATTGGCAACATAATATTTTTTGGGAGAACAACTGGAATAAAATTAGAACAGGGAGAATTATTGCCCCAGTACTGTATGTCGTGAAAATAACCTTCAAACTGTAACTTGTCCGCCAACTTCCATATGTTCACAAGGTTGTCTTCTGACATTACTTTTAATGCAATTTTTTCACAATCTGCTATCATAAATTCTATCTGTAGCTGATCCACCGCTTTCCACAAGTCTATAACATTTTCCAACGTTAAAACAACTGTTCCGGAATAAATTGACATTAAAATATGTTGAAATGTTTGTTCTGATATTCCATTTAGTGTAACACATCCATCATTTGCTTCCCTCATTTCACATCGTAAGAGTGCTCTAAAGAAATCTGAAGACGTAGCCAGAACAACTCGGTGACACCGAACCTTAACATCTTCAACTTCTACAGTAAAATCCAACAATTCATCTTCTAGTAGTAATCTTTCTAGATTTTTAGTAATGCAATTGGACCTTTTATATACTATGCCCATTGTTAAAATTGGAATGACTCTTTTTAAAATAAGATCAATTCATGTAACACTTGAAACAAGATGTGCAATTTTTAAAATATATAAATGTGGTAAATCTGCTCATTAAATGAAAAGACCAGCAGAATCTGAAAGACAACATCGATTTTAAAACATTAATTTTTTTAACAAAAGAATTAAGCTAAATTAGAAGAATAACTTTTTATTAGACCGCATACATATGTAATGAAATTTAATCTTCATTGGCATATAAAAAAATATAAACTAGTTATTTGTAAAGGGCAGTGACTTGTGTGCTAATAAAGTTGGATATATCCGGCATTGCCAGGGTTAAGGAAATGTATTGCTTTTCCAATTGAGTATCAATAATCACATACTGACGGCTGAGAATATCACAAATAACCTTAACTATAAACTAACTCTCTCTACAATCAATCACAATCAAACCAAATGGAAACACAAACACAAACGCGAACACAAACGAATACACAAACTCCAACACACACACAAACGCAATTACTCAGAAAATAATGCAAATATAAAAGCGAACATAACACATGCTGTTGTTGAGGAAGGGAGTTTGTATGAGCAGTCTACTTGGATCCTAACTTGAAATTGTTAGCAATGTTGAGTAAACCCGAAATCCCATAAAGAAATAAGTCTCCCGTCTATTATATTCGAGTTGTTTGTGACCAGTGACTATTGGTAGTGGAACGCCCACAATAATAGTATGAAATGTGAAGCCCTCTCATAGCGACTAATGTTATAATGTGTGTTTGATTAGGCATGAAGGTGCGAACAAATATTGTTATGGACGAATGTTGAATAAAAGAAGATGTGACGCGGTAAGCAAGAATGTGAAGTTTAACTGTAGGATCGTTGTTGCCGGGGAAAAAGTTTAGGTCGAATTGTTCTTGTTGTCTTAGGATTAGGTCGTGAATGTAGTCGAATCTTACTATCGTTTGTTCAACTCGTCGTTGGAATTATTATAGTACAATGAACAAAAAAAACATTTAAACCGTAACTTACCCTGCACTGATAAATATAAAAGAAAACAACCTTTTATTGGTAACTTAGCAAAGAGATATAAGATATGAAATATAAATATATAGTAATTAGTAAGCTATAAGCACTGTATATTGCTTGTATAAGACTTTTTGTATAACAAGATATTCAATGAGGCCTACAGCGTTTTAAAAATGTAAGAAATAAAAACATGAAATTTATATTCCTCCTTCAACACGGATGCTGTTAAATGAAAGAGATACACTTTGTTTCTAAAGTTTTATTTAGGTGTGCAAAACTCCGTTTTTTTTTACTTAATTGTATACGAAGTATATAGGATATATTGTAATCGTGCAAAAAATGTGTTGTTATGTAGTAACTTTTCAGCAATTTCCGGTAACCGGAAGCGGAGCGTATTAAACTTTCAAAGTTCTCAAAACCCAAACAGACAATCAAAAAAACAACAAAAAATAAATAAAAAATACACGAACATGTAAACAAACTTGACTTTTAGTAGTATATAGATGTCTAGAAGATAACATAAATTAGAATCAATGTAAAACAAAACTTGTGGTATTTGATCAAATACATGGCGTAAAATGTATTGAACGGTAAATTAAAAGTATAAAACAAAGTATAAAACAAAGTATAAAACAAAGTATAAAACAAAGTATAATTGATTAAAACTATCAAAATGCAATCACAAGATCGGGTTTATCCGATATAGTAACTAAGGATATTTATTTGATCTAAAACCATTATCACTATTTTGCAAGGTGAATCAAGTTTGTATTAAATCACATAATCAAAGACGAAAAATAAAACAACTGATATTTTTTTTTATTTTATTTTGCGATGACTTTTAAAACTACGGTATTAAAGACAATGATGTGTATGTGTTAATTGTGAAAACTGAGAAGCCGTATATGTTATGTTATTCCAAAGATAAATATACATTGTTCTTTTCAGAGATATATTTACATCATTTTAAAATAACGAATGTCTGGAAGTTAAATATAAATATTAATAAGTTTAACACAAAGCGTGTGGTGTAAACTTTATTGAACGGTAAATTAAAAGTATAAAACATAGTATAAGTAATGGAAAATATCAAAATAAAATAATTATTTTCTAAGAGTGGTCACGAAGTTTGATGTCACCCGATGTAAGCACTGGCGATGTCACCTATCCACTTCAGCAATTATACATTTTTGATTTGGTACAACCAATCTTCACGCCATTTATTCACTCCCTACTGTGTGCCATTCACCTAACTATACTACACTTTACATTTTAATAATAAAATTAAATACCCCAACGACACTCTGTGTATTCAAAAGAATTACTTATTTAACAATCGTATCAATAGTACTAACATGTAAACGCTATTATCAATTTCCTAGCAATAATAGTTAAATCAACTTTAAAATATTACCAGCATTGCAGTACAAATACTTTTTAAACTAATCACCTTAAAATAGAAATTTTAAAAACAAAGAAAAAAACACATACATATACTTAGATTTTTTGGCGTTTGAATTAAGTACCTAATAAGTATTGCTACAGCATCCAGTTGCAGAGTTCTACACTTAAGTCGAGCAACTACATATTTTCTGACCACCTCTCCCTGTTCAGTAGCTGTATAACAACCATCTAATAATCCCAAAACGTAAAACGTGTATCGGTAACATAACATTCTGAGCATGCGACCTACAAAAATTCTGCCGTACGAATATTGCATCAATTTTCGTGCACTTTATTTGCTTTGTATTATTCCATATATTAGTAAGGTTTTTTTGTTTTTTTTAAATATACCTTTTTTAAATAATGTATTATAAATAAATAAATTATATATAGAAATTATATATAATTACGTATATATATATATATATATATATATATATATATATATATATATATATATATATATATATATATATAAGTAAGTTTAGGGTCCTCTACACCAAAAATTTAGCATTATTCGTTATTTGAATTCCACCCGATCGGAGAGCTATTAATTTCGTACATATGTATCCAGTAGCGCCAACACATATTACTGAGTAAATGTTGGGAAACAAAAGAAACAAAAACGCTACATAACTTTACCAATCGACACAAAACACAACCCCCACCCTCACCCTAATCTCAATCCCTTTCCAAAACGCAATAACAATATTATAGAACTACTTTCTAATTTTTGTCAGAAAGGAAAAATTTCATCTTTTGGTAGAGTAACTGGTATAAAATTTGAACATGGGATTCCAACCGTACAGTATATTATTTTGTTAAAGTACTCTTCAAACTTATTCAGCATATTTTGATCAGCAGGTTCGTTCGAAACTACGACAAACAATTTTTTCTTGTAGGTCATTGCACCGTATACATTTCTCCTAAAAGTCCACAATCTTCCCAAAAATATGAATGTGACTTTTTCAGCTGAATAGTTTATGCTCCACAAACCTCCAACAGTTTGTAATACATAAGTAGTGTTGTCATCACTGAAACTTATTATGTGTTCAGCTGGTCCATTCAATTGTTCTAATTCTGTTAATTTTTTTGTTAGAATATCCAGCTGATGAACTGCAGTTTTCTCTTCACCATTGACGGTAACAGAACTGAAAATCAGAATAATTCTTTGATAATTTATAGCCTGTTGTATTTTTAATGTCTCTGGTAGCTTTGTAAATTCTTCAACTGTTGGTTTACTGTTTTTAGGGTATAATTGATAAATTTCACTAGAACATTTACTAAGAATAAAGATACACTGTTCATATGGCACTAAAATTAACTGCCGTCCTGGTATTTCAGCGATCTTATTCCAAGCGGTTCTACAGAAAACAAACAGACAGCTGTTTGTTTGAGACACGTCTTTAACACCACTGGCGTACAGATAAGAGTCAAATACAACTAAAGTTACGTCCAGAGGTATATCGCTACAGCGTACACATTTGTAAACCTTATGTTCACATGCAGAGACACATTTAAAATCACCATTTATTATACGCACAACACCGTAATGCTCCCATTTACTAGAGGATCGATGTATGGCACTTGTTCGCCATTGTCCGTGGTTATAATGTGTTGTCTTATACAATACCGCATCCATTAAAATACGCTCAGCTTCTTTGTTGTTGATTATCAATTGCTGATTTAGCAGATGTTTCAGAAGTGGTGTACTCACAAGACACGTCCGCACAGACTTCAATAATGTTGTCAAGGCTTGAGTTCTGTGACTTATTTTATTCAACGTTTGTTTATGGACTGCAATAAGACTTTTACCAGATTCATTATTAGAACTACTTTCTTTTGAAGTGTTATGTTCTATGAAAGTATTAGCGACTTCTTTTTCACCACTGCATTTTTCTGCTGGCACATACTCAACCCACTTTAGCACTGTTTGTATGACCCAGTCTTCGTTTTCTACTTTTAGATCCCGAGAATCAATCAATTCATTGAAATCTTTAACTTCGAGCTCAATTATAGGCTTTTCGTTCATAAGTAAGCCAAAGTTATTTAACATAAAAGATTTTGAAGCATTCAACACTTTTTCGGATTTAAAAGCTTTAGCTGTACTCACAACGTTTTCAATGTTTTCAACAGAAATGGCCTTTGCAGCGAAATCCTCACAGTGTGTAACAATAAAATCTATCTGTAGTTGATCCGCTGCCTGCCATATGTCTATAAAATTGTCTTTCGTCAAAGGTACCTTTCCAGTATACATTGACTTCAAAATGTGTTGAAATGTTTTAAGAGAAATCCCATTGATCGTTACACAACCCTCTTTAGCCTCCTTCATGTCTGTCATTAAAAGTGCTCTGAAGAAATGTGACGACGCTGCCAGAAAAATACGGTGACATGGCAAGGAAACGTCATCAACCTTGACAGTAAAATCCAAAAAAATATTATCCAACAGAAGTTTTTCTGTGTTTTTCAGAATAGTTTGAGAACTGTCATATTCAAAATCCATCATTGAATTAAAACTTAGAAACTGAAAAGCATCTGCAAGTATTGATTTACAATTTTTAAATGTACTACCTGTAAGTACTAAAGTAAATAACTTGTCTTAAATTAATACAGGTAAACATGAATGTACTTTCATTATCTAAGCGCAAATATATATTGCTTTTTCATTAGTGTTGGAAAAGTGTTTATAAAATTGCCAATGGCTATTTTTAAGTTAAAATTATTTTTTTTTAAACGAACGTCTGGAAAATGAAAATAGGTGAATACGATTTCATTTTTTTTCAATGCTTGTACGTGTGTTTATTTGTATTTTTGTGGATTTATTGCAGTCCGTGAATTTCGATTATAACCATTTTCTAAAGCAGCGATGTCGATTAAAATTTTCAGATACCATACTGTTAAATTACAAAGTAAGAATATATCATTTTTAATCTAATTAGACAATACTAAATTCCAACAATAAAAGGGAAGACATCAGGACAAATTACAAGAGCTAATCGCTCGCTTAGCTAGAGGAACAAGGAGAAAAAATGATCACTGCTAATTGTTTTTTTTTCTGCGAGTCGACTACAGACTATGAAAGGTCAGAAAAATGTATGTTAGAGATCGCAATCTTACTGTAGGGTTTTATCATATTTTAATTCGTATGTGGGGTTTTTTTCGTATTTTCTATTGCCTATTTAAAACAGAAACATATATACTCTGGTTTTTGTTTTACAATATTTATGTTTTTATTAATTTTATTTATAAAGGCCTTGACATAAAATGCATCTAACTAGGCCTAAATGTAAGGGATTGCGAGGAAGTGATCAACGACTTGAGTAGAATTTACTAATTTTAAACAGTTTACGTGTAGAAACTGAAAAGGGAATCTCAAAAGCTTTTTTTATTATTGCTACTTCAATACAGGAACAGTTTTAGAATTCAGGGAGTCGCTATAAGAGAAGAGGGGGGAGATGTATGTAATATGTATTTAAGTGAAACGTTTGGTATATCTATAAAAGTAAAATAATTATTAGTTTATATTTTTAGCATATTCCATAATAGTAGACTAAATAATTTTAAATAAATTACTTTTAATGTGTTTTTCCTATATATATGTATAAGTGTTTTTCCTATATATATATAAGTGTTTTTTACTATATTAACTTGTTATACATTTATTAAACTAATTTATTTATGTGTATAATTGTTTTTCTATCGTAAAAATGAAAAAAAAAAGTTTGAACTGTAACTTACCATGCACTGATAAATATTAAATATAATAATTAACCTTTGTTAATTAAGCAAATAGATAAGATAAGATATAAGATCTGAGCTATAAATATATAGCAGTCAGTAAGCTATATGCACTGCATATTGCTTGTATAAGAATATTTGTATAAAAAGATATTTAATGAGGCATATTCCGTTTAAAAATTTTAAGAAATAAAAACATGAAATTTAATTTCCTCATTCAACACGGGTGCTGTCAAATGGAAGCAACACAATTTTTTTTCTAGAGTTTAGCTTAGGTGTGCAAAAGTCGGTTTTTTGTTAAGATGCCACTGAATATAAATTTTAGACAATAGTTATAATTATTAGTATTATTACTTCTCTTTTTTTACTTCCTCGTTTATACGAAGTATAGAGAAAGTCTTGTAATCGTGCAAAAAAAATCGAGATTTTTACAAATCTCGACGTTTTACATCTCACTGATAAGGAAAAACATAATTTTGCAATCTTGTCCGTATGTCTGTGTGTCTGTGTGTGTGTGTGTGTGTCTGTGTGTAAACACGATAACTTGAGTACCGTTACAGCTAGATTGATGAAATCTCATATATAAGTATTTTATCAAAATCGTAGATCCGTATCAACTTTTTAGCAATTTCCGATAACCGGAAGTGGTACTTTTTCTACTTTGAATATTTCAAAAGCCAATAACTTAAGTACTATTTCAGATAGATAAATGAAATTTCACATGTAAGTAAAAGATCTAATTCTTTTCGTTCTGTCAAATTTTGAGTAATTTCCGTTGACGGGAAGTACTAATTTACGCTATTTCCGATTTCTCAAAAAAGCATCTAAATTTATGAAGTACTAATAATATTGCGCACCATTATGCACATAATTGTCAAAAATATTAACACCTAGCCTAAAATCAGCATATAACTAAAAATCCAACCTTTATTTTATCTGAATCGTGACAGGTTTTACCTGAGAGTATGACGTTACCTACCCATGCCCCTACCCGGTCATTAGCACCCTGATCAATTACCTCTTCTCAATTACCAAACTACAAAAAAAAAAAACATATTATACCAATTCATATCCTTTTTTCATCATTATCTTCTCCAAATGCCTAACCCTGCTCCTAACCAAAACAAAATTCTTTTCCCGAAAATACCAGATTTATTTCAGGTGTAATAAAAAGCGTGACAGTTATCCCCTACTTTGTTTTAATAGATATAGATAATCAACCTTAGAATATAATTACGCAACTTGTTAACCTAGTTTAAGTTAATCATTTTTAAAATTAGGGCAAAACGCTTGTGAACAAGTCTCCACTCTAGACAAAACCTCCGTGGTAAAAACATCACCTGTGATGATATCACCTGCGGTCAAATCATCAGTAGCGTAAGCAAGGGGGGTTAGGGGGGTTAGGGGGGTTAAAACCCGTCCCATGGACCCCTATACATATATGTATATATGTATATATATATATATATATATATATATATATATATATATATATATATATATATATATATATATATATATATGTATATGGTCAAAGCCACGCTGTGGACAAATTACATATGGTCAACCACTTATGGTCAAAGCCACGCTGTGGACAAATTACATATGGTCAACCACTTATGGTCAAAGCCACGCTGTGGACAAATTACACATTATCAACCACCTATGTTCAAAATTACGCTGTGAACAAAGCGAACATGATCAACCATCTATGGTCAAAATTACGCTGTGAACAAAGCGCATATGGTCAACCACCTAAAGTGAAAATGCCTGTGGTCGAAGACCGTGTACCGAAACAACGTATGTCAACAACATCTATATATATAATTCTCTTCTGGTAGCCGTTAGAAAATAAGCTGCAAGCGCGCCTTTGCAGTCCCCTCTCTTCTTCTCTGTCGCTACCACCCCCCCCCCACCCCCCTCACATGGTCTGGTGAGCTGTGGTTCACGCAAAATGTTTATGTTTACATTTTACAATCGCATAGCCGGGTTTAGTGACGGCTATAAATATTAGGGGCAGATAATTTAGTTTGAAACGATTTTAAACTTAGAGGAGGTAACTATGAGGAGGCTGTTTTCACGGGGGGGGGGGGGAAGGGGGGGTTTAGTGTTTTAAAGCAAATATTTTCAGTGGCAGCATTGGTACTGTCGAATTCACAAATTATGAATTACTGAAAAGTAGAAAAATCAACAACTAAATAGCGGCGTATATGATACGCTGCGGGTCGGCTCGTTACAATTAACTTTATGTAGGTACTATAATTAAAAATAAAATCATTATCACTATCTTGGAAGGTGGACCAATTTTGTTTTGATTCACACGCTAAATGACGAAAAATAAAACAATTCTTATACCTGCTGAATTTGTTTTTAATTGCGCTATAACTTTTAATTCTTTAGTGTTCATGACATGTATCCCTATTTGTTCATTGTAATAGTTACCAAAAACTAAGAAGCCGTATCTCTTATTTTATTCCAAAGAGAAATATCCATTGCTTTTTTCACACAAATATTTACAGCATTTAAAAATAACTTATGTTTGAAAGTGAAATATAAATATTAAACAGTATAACACAAGGCTTGTGGTATTTAAACAAATACATAGTGTAAACTTTATTGAACGGTAAATTAAAAGTATCAAAGTATAATTGATTTAAAATATCAAAAATAAAATCGTTATTTTGTAACAGTTGACACTATGTCAGATGCCACCCGATGCGCTATTTTGGGGTGTGACCCACCCACTTCAGCAATTTTACATTTTTATTCGGTATCACCAATCTGCACTACAATTTATTCACTCTCTGATTCGTGTCATTCACCTACCGGACCTACTCTATACATTCTAATAATAAAAGTAATTACTAGTGCTAACATTTAAAGGATGTTTTCAATTATTAACAATAAGAGTTAAAACAATTTTGAAATACTACCAGCATTGCAGTAGGCCCGTATATATGTATTTTAAACTAACAACCAAAAAAAAGAAATTTAAAAAACAACGAAACACACCAAAACCTACTTAGATTATTTAGATTATATTGATCGGTCAGGTTGTTCTTTTTTTTTAATTAGCCTTATACTTTTATTTAAGATACTAAATAAAAGAATAATCACAACGTGTGATTCTTTAAAAGTGTTTGTATTATATATAAATATAAAAGTTAGTTAAGTGGCCCTGCATCTAAATAAAGCATTATTGGTTATTTTAATTCCACTTATTCAGAGAGCTATTAATTTACTCCATTTGCATCCAGTGCACAAATTACTAAGTAAATCTTTGGAAAGTAATGAAACAAAAAGGCTGTATAACCACCACCAAAAAAGCCCCAAACGTTCTGCCAACACCTTTACAAATTGCAATAGCACGACTTTGTAATTAATTTTTGAGAGACACCATTTCATCTTTCGGTAGTGTAACTAGTATAAAATTTGAACATGGTTCATCAATCCCCCAGTGATTTATGATGTTACAGTAATCTTTAAGCGTATACAGCCGTTTTTGTTCAGCAGGCTCTTTTGTTGGGTCAGAACCTAAGATAGTCAATTTTTTCCTGTATGTCATTGCACCGTACAAATTTCTTTTAACAGTCCATAATCTTCCCAAAAATAAGAATGTGACTTTTTCAGCTGAAAAGTTTATGCTCCACAAATCTCCTACAGTTTGTAGCAAAAAAGTATTGTTGTCATCACTGAAACTTATTATCTGTTCAGCTGGTCCATTTAATTGTTCTAATTCTGTTAATTTCTTTGTTAGAGTGTCCAGCTGATGAACTGCAGTTTTCTCTTCACCGTTGACGGTAACAGAACTGAAAATCAGAATCATTCTCTGATAATGTACAGCTTGTTGTACTTTGATTGTGTCTGGAAGCTTTGTGAATTCTTCAACTTTTAGCTTACTGTTTTTAGGGTATAATTGATATATTTCACTAGAACATTTACTAAGAATAAAGATACACTGTTCATATGGCACTAAAATTAACTGCCGTCCTGGTATCTCAGTGATTTTGTTCCAAACATTTCTACAAAAAACATACAGACAGCTGTTTGTTTGAGAGACGTCTTTAACACCACTAGCGTATAGATAAGAGTCGAACACAACTAAAGTTACGTCCAGAGGTATATCGCTAGAGCTTACACATGTGTAAATCTTTTCTTCGCATGCATTTATGCAATTAAAATTTTTGTTTATTACATATAAAACACCGTAGTGTTCCCATTCACTCGAAGCTCGATGTATGGCACTTGTTCGCCATTGTCCGTGGTTATAATGTGTTGTCTTATACAACACAGCATCAATCAAAATATCTCTAGCTTCAGTGTTGTTGATTATCAATCGATGTTTTAGCAGATGTTTCAGAAGTGGTGTACTCACAAGACACGTCCTCACAGACTTCAATAATGTTGTCAAGGCTTGAGTTCTGTGATTTATTTTATTCAACGTTTGTTTATGGACTGCGGCAAGACTTTTGTCAGATTCATTATTAGAACAATTTGTTGTATTATCTTTTATGTCAGTGTAAACGTCTTCATATTCAGCACTGCATTTTTCTTCTGGCACATACTCAACCCACTTTAGCACTGTTTGTATAACCCAGTCTACGTTTTCTACTTTTAGGTCCCGTGAATCAATCAATTCATTAAAATCTTTAACTTCGAGCTCCATTATAGACTTGTCGTTCATAAGTATGCCGAAGTTATTTAACATAAAAGATTTTGAAGCATTCAACACTTTTTCGGATTTAAAAGCTTTAGCTGTATTCACAACGCTTTCAAAGTTTTCAACGGAAATGGCTTTTGCAGCGAAATCCTCACAGTGTGCAACAATGAAGTCTATCTGTAGTTGATCCGCTGCCTGCCATATGTCTATAAAATTATCTTTCGTCAGAGGAACTTTTCCAGTATACATTGACTTTAAAATGTGCTGAAATGTTTTAAGAGAAATCCCATTGATCGTTACACAACTCTCTTTAGCCTCCTTCATGTCTGTCATTAAAAGTGCTCTGAAGAAATGTGACGACGCTGCCAGAAAAATACGGTGACATGGCAAGGAAACGTCATCAACCTTGACAGTAAAATCCAAAAAAATATTATCCAACAGAAGTTTTTCTGTGTTTTTTAGAACAGTTTGAGAACTGTCATATTCAAAATCCATCATCGAATTTAAAATTAGAATCTGCAAAGCATCTGAAAATAACGTTTTAAAATGTTTAAAAGTGTTGGTTGTAAGTACTAAAATGAATACATTTTGTTTTTAAAATAATTCAGGTAAACATGAATGTACTTTCCTTATCTGAGCGCACGTAAATTTTGCTTTTTCGTGGATATTTTGAAGTTAAAAAGCTAAAATGTAAATAGGTTAGATTTTTATAAGCTTTTATTTTGTCTACAATTCTTGTACGTGTGTTTCTTTTTTTCTGGATTTTTCGCAAACCGTGAATCTCGATGTAACAATTTTCTAAAGCTTCAAAGTACATTAAAATTATCAGATAAATTACTTTCAAATGACAAAATAATAATATCTCATTTTCAATCTAATTAGACATTAATAAAATCCAACAATAAAAGTGCTGATCGCCAGAGGAACACTGAAAAAAAAGTTATCACTGCTGATTGGTTTTTTGAATGCGAGTCGACTATAGACCATACAGGGTCAAATACATTGTCTGTTAGAGATCGCAGTCTAACTATAGAGTTATACCATATTTTAAGTCTTATTTGGAGTAGACTCCATTATTAACGAATTAGTAAAAAGTTTTTTTTTAAAGTTACAATTTAAAAAATAACATTATGAATTTTTTTTTAAATCTTAAAATTATTTAATGTTACATATTTTAGAATGAAATGCTTTTATTCATTTTTTTTACAATAATTATTATTTTTTATAATTTATTTATACAATCGTGACACATAACGCAGCTCCACGTGTGGTTTTTAAACAAATTTAAGAGTTTTTTAAACTAGGCCTACAGGGAAATAAATAGTGAGGAAGTGGTCAACGACTGAAGTAGAATGAATTTGCTTATTTAAAAAAGTTTACGTGTAGAAATTGAAATCGGAATCTCAATAGCTTTTATTTTTATTATTGCTACTTCAATATAGGAACAATTTTAGATTTCAGCGAGGGGCTATAAGGGAGGAGGGGGTAAATATATATAATATTTATGTAAGTGATACAAGTAAAATAAATATTAAATTATATTTAAGCTGCTTTAATGAAAGTAGACTAAACAATATCAAATATATTATTAGTGATGTCTTTTCAGTAAACTACTATATTTACTAGTAATACATGTATTCAATTAAATTAATTATGTGTATAATTGTTTTTCTTTCGTTAAAAATGAAAAAAAAATACAACGTTTAAACTGTAACTTACCATGCACTGATAAATATTAAAGATAATAATTAACCTTTTCTAGTTAACTAAGCAAAGAGATATAAGATCTGAACTATAAATATATAGATCTAATAATCAGTAAGCTATAGGCCCGGTATATTGCTTGTATAGGAATATTTCTATAAAAAGATATTCAATGAGGCATACAGCGTTTTAAAATTGTAAGAAATAAAAACATGAAATTGAATTTCCTCTTTCAACACAGGTGCTGTCAACTGGAAGCGAAACACATTTTTTCAAAGTTTTAGCTTAGGTGTGCAAAACTCAATTTTTTCTAACGATGCGACTGAATATAAATTTCAGACAATAGTTATAATAATTATTAATATTTCTATTCTTTTTTAATTATTATGGGGGGGGGGGGGGCATCATTATTATCGTACAGAGACGGGTAACCCCCCCCCCTCCTTCACCCTGACATGCACTCTAATTTTTTTCAACTGGAGAATCTTAATTAACAGATGTTTTAGCAAAGTTGAAACTGCTTATTTAAAGCATAACATCGCGAGTGGTTTGTAAGTTGCCTTACCTTTTTGATCACTTGCATTTTGAATAGAACGCGAAACATAAATTCAAATTTTCTTTTATGCATCCACATTTAAATTTTTAAACGAAGTTTATTTAAAAACTGGGACTTGTCTTAAAACTTTTATACGTCTGCTTTTCATTAGTTATAAGAAACCCGCGTGAATAATGCAATACCATTTAAGTTCATTCTAGAAGAAGTTTATACGTACCTATTCCGGTTTCCGGGAAAAATACTTATAGAAAACCACAAATTTGATATAAAACGTATATTTGAAATTTCGTCACCTGAAAAAATCACCTGAAACGGTTATAATGTTATCGTGTTTACGTACACACAAAAGACATGAACAAAATTGCAAAATCTAGTTCGTTCCAGAAGAAGGTAAGACGTAACAATGTGTCAAAATCGCTCTTTTGTTTCTTTGCTCGATTTCAATGCATCCGTTTCCTTTCCAAAACGACACAGTAAAAGGTGTAAAACAGCGAAAACTGTCAAAAAAACGTGTTCATTTATCAAGCACGATTACAATATTTCCTCTTTATTCTGCATACGAGAAAGTATAAATGTAGGTTTATATGTGTGACTTATTTTAAAGTAGCTTGTTTTTTCTTTCTTTTTAACATAAAATAAAAGATTTTACTTTAAGTATTACTGTTCGCATTAAATCTTATTATATGTTGGTATTAGTATTATTGACTAACATATATATATATATATATATATATATATATATATATATATATATATATATATATATATCGATGGTCTCGGTCGCAAACCGTCTAACTCAAAAAAATTCGATTTTCTTTTTTTTACATAAATCAAAAGCCAATATGATTCCCCATAATGCCTGAAAATATTAGAGAAATCTGTAGAATGATTATTGAGATATAATCATTTGAACAAACCGCCTATTATTTCTAGCGCTAAAAATCTCGGCGCAAAACGAATATCGCTATATTTGTCAGTATACTTTTGATCGGGAACGCAGTCGCACGCCGTAATCACACAATTTTACAGCACAGCAGTCACACTACTTATAGGTAAGGATATTTGATTAATTATGTTCAACTATTCTATTACATTTTATCATTTTAAAGAATAATAAACAAATAGTATTTGTTTAATATAGCCTACTTCCAGATTTTCAATAACCAAACTGATTTGTTTACATTTTTTTAGGCTAACACAATGCTTTGAAACTAGATCTTTATTCTAGAATCTAAATATCAATCAAAACAATATAATTCGAATTATATTTCCACAAGAATGTGCAATAAATTTAATAATTGTTGATTCACTACTAGCTTTAGATTGAGGGTTTAGATACGTGTTAAGAAATGTTTATATGGTAGGTTACAAAATGTTTGGCGTACATTTTCAACGACATGGTTAGTTGTCTTTAGTAGATGCTTTTATGATTAATTTTTCAACAGACAAGCCTATCTCAACACACCAGCCTGTCTCAACATACCAGCTTCTCTCAACATACCAGCCTCTCTCAACAGACCAGCCTCTCTCAACAGACCAGCCTCTCTCAACAGACCAGCCTCTCTCAACAGAACAGCCTCTCTCAACAAACCAGACTTACCACATAACAGACCAGCCTCTCTCAACAGACCAGCCTCTCTCAACATATCAGCCTCTCTCAACAGACCAGCCTCTCTCAACAGACCAGCCTCTCTCAACAGACCAGCCTCTCTCAACAAACCAGACTTACCACATAACAGACCAGCCTCTCTCAACAGACCAGCCTCTCAACATATCAGCCTCTCTCAACAGACCAGCCTCTCTCAACAGACCAGCCTCTCTCAACAAACCAGACTTACCACATAACAGACCAGCCTCTCTCAACAGACCAGCCTCTCAACATATCAGCCTCTCTCAACAGACCAGCCTCTCTCAACAGACCAGCCTCTCTCAACAAACCAGACTTACCACATAACAGACCAGATTCTCAACATATCAGCCTTTCTCAACAGACCAGCCTCTCTCAACAGACCAGCCTCTCTCAACAGACCAGCCTCTCTCAAAAGACCAGCCTCTCTTAACAGACCAGCCTCTCTCATCATACCAGCCTCTCTCAACATACCAGCCTCTCTCAACACACCATTCTTACCACATAACAGACCAGCCTCTCTCAACAGACCAGCCTCTCTCAAAAGACCAGCCTCTCTCAACATACCAGCCTCTCTGAACACACCATTCTTACCACATAACAGACCAGACTCTCTCAACAGACCAGCCTCTCTCAAAAGACCAGCCTCTCTCAACATACCAGCCTCTATCAACAGACCAGCCTCTCTCAACAGATCAGCCTCTCTCAACAGACAGCCTCTCTCAACAGACAGCCTCTCTTGACATATCAGCCTCTTTCAACAGATCAGCCTCTCAACATATCAGTCTCTCCCAACAGACCCTGTCTTACCATACAACACCAGCATCTGTCAACTGACAAATCCTAATGGCACCAGCATCTCTCAACAGACCAGCCTTTTAAAACAGACCAGTCTTAACATTAAGGCACCAGTAACTCACAAGAGACCAGTCTCTCTCAGCAGACCAGTCGTAATATTCAAAAGACCAATCTCTCTCAACTGACCAATCTTACCCTCCAAGATACCAGCCTCTCTCAACAGACCATTCTTACCATACAAGAGACCAGCCTCTCTCAAAAGATTAGTCTTATCCTACAATAGACAAGCCTCTCTCAACACACCAGTCCTACCATACAATACACCAGCCTTTCTCAACAGATCAGTCGTAACATACAATAGACCAGCCTCACATAACAGACATTAGACACCAACCTCTCTCAAAAAGACCAGCCTTACCATACAAGAGACCAGCCGATCTCAAAAGACCAGTCAGACCTATCAAGAATTCAAAGCGACAGATATTCGTGCACTGCAGTACAAGCCTGATGCTACTGTCTACTTCAAAGTGAATCAGCAGATAGCTGGCAATTGCTAAGCTAGGGTCGTAAGATTATGATCTCATCTGTAGCCCCTGTCAAGTTGTACAAGAGCAGAAAAAAAAGATAAAAGCTGTCATATATGAGCACCTAAAAGCAAGTCATAAACACACCTTTTTATGATGATTTCCCTGATTTTAAAAATATGTTGCCATTTTAATGTTTCTTTATGTGACGTTTATTCAAAGAATAAATTTAAAAAATAAACACATTTTTTGGTGTTACATTTTTGTAAAATAAGTAAACATTAGGTCAGTATTAATGTGATTAGTGTGTTATGTCTCATTCATAATATATCTGAAAATACGGTTTCTGTTTTTACTATTATCATTCTAAAAACCCAGCACCCACCAGATTTAGTAAAATAATCTGTGAGAATAGAAAGATAATAAATAAAGCATAACCTTCAACAGTTAACAAGTCTAGTGCTAAATACAGACATAATGAATACACTCGAAAGCGATAAAGCCATACTAAAACATTTCTATTAAAAATTAAACTGACCCCATGATGTAGAATAAACTCAAATAATTAAAATATGAGCCCAAAACTATAATCTAAATATTATGAAGTGTTAATTATAACTTTAAAACATAAACATAATTAAATCACGTTCATTGGACAAAACGAACGAACGTGGCTGAGACCGAAATTCTCGGTTCAAAACGGCTAAGTCTGCGCGCGCACAGATAGACGGTTTGCACCGAGAATTTTAGACCGAGCAAACCGTCTATCTTTTTAAACATGCTATAATTTTGGAAATATCAACGAAACCCATTTTAAAACGCTACAGTATAGTCGGTAGAGAGTTTCTTCGGAGATATCTTTTAAAAAAATTTGTATTAGAGCGATCGAGAAGGAAATAATCAGTTTTTTGTCTCTCCTGTAAAATTTACATTTTCGGAGTTAGACGGTTTGCGACCGAGACCATCGATATATATATATATATATATATATATATATATATATATATATATATATATATATATATATATATATATATATATATACTAGCGTACCCGACCCCCGCGCGTTGCCGCGGGGATAGAAGAAAGTTTGACGAAATATATTAGGATTTCACCAACGCGTTATCAATTATAATTATATGTTCTTAGACGCGTTACCTTCTTTTCTAAAAATGAGTTATTTAAATGTAAACAATGCCTGTTCTTGGATCATAAATATCAGGACACGGGTTTACCTACACTACCGCATGAAAACCTTGAGTGTACATTAATCATTTACCGAAATGATCAGGTAGAACACACTTCGGTGACCGCCGATGTGTCAGAGTCGTAGAGGGGCGCTCTCAGGGCCCCCACCCCCCGATTACACTACCGCATAGGCGCGACGTACGACCCCTGGCTCCTTAAAACTAACAGGCGCCATCGGCCAAATAGCATCCTGTTAATAATGATGCAGATTTCGTCATTCGCTAAAGTGACACAAATGAACAGGATTTTTTTCTTTAACACGTAAAAATTTATTTGACGTGTTTTAAATATCAGTGTGACTGATGCAATATGCTAGCGTTACTAATGGTCTATTATTCGATGCTCGATCTCAATTTCTGACTGGATTGTCTAATAATAAATGCTTATTGCATCATTCGCAAAGTGACGAAACTCT